GGGGAGCTTCTCACTTCAGATTAATGAAATTGACGTGATATTCCAATTTTATCCTCACACTTCCTTTTATTTACAAAAAAACCTTATCTCTCTATTTCTTCCTTTCTTTCTAAAGCAGTTGAATCCTGCGTTTCTTCTCCTTGCCTTCTTGCCCATCTTCTTCCAAAGCAGACCGAAAAATCCCCACCGTCAGTCACCGGCCTTCTTTCTCCCTAACTGCTTCAAAGCAAAAAAGTACAACTCAATGGCAAAATCCCATTTCTCCTCCTCTGTCTGTAAGTCTCCTTCCTTTTCTCTGATTTTTTTTTCCTTTTTTGGCGTTTCTGCTACTAATTTGGTGGTGATGAATGATGATTGTTGATTGGTAGTGTGAGTTGGTAAAAGTTTTAACTGAAAATCCTTTCTCGTTCCTTGTCTTCTTGCAGTTATGAGCCACGTGATGACCGTCGACAACTATCGAGGACCGCCGAGACCACCGCGATAATCCTTTCGACACCAATTGATAATTACTGATGTTCTGTTATTCTTGATTCTGAAAATGGGTTTTACCCCATTTCTTTATATTCAATTTTGACTTCATGTGATTTTCTACTTCCTCATCTGTCTGTGTCAAGTAGCGTAATAGTTGTTTTCCTGCCCCAATATAGATTAGATTCTAATATTGTTCTAGCTTTTGGAAGTTGGGTTTGAGTCCATTTCAATCTTTATACCCCATTGATATAAATATTTGGTTCTAATTTGCTGAGAGCATATTTGGAAATTTTCTATGTTCTTCATTTCCCAGAAAGGGAGTAAAATATGGAATATGATTTGGAACCTTTTAGTTGCTAATGCTGAGGGATTGTAGAAGACAAAAAGAACCAAAATTTTTGTTTTTTTGGTTCTGATTTGTTGAGAACGTGGTTGTGGCTTTCATTTTTGGTATGTTCTTCATTTCTTAGAAAGTGGAGAAGAAAAAAGAAAAAGGACTGTAATTTGGAACCAAAAAGAACCAGAATTTTTATATACTGAAATTGATATCCAAGTTTGAGAGCATTAAAAACTTATCTGCAGCACTATATAATTGTTTGTGTTCAAGTAGCATTTTTCCTGTTTGTTGTCATGTGTTAGAGCTGGAATGTCTCATGTGAACTCCTTTTTGGAATTAAATTCAACTTG